TGTTTAATTGGTTGGGAAATAGTTAATACCCCGTGTTGATTGTTTATTCCTTAAAATGAAGAAGAAAGTATAAGTTTCTGCAGGAAATGTGTGTGTTTGTATATATATAATTATTATTACATTCAAATAAATAGAAAAATCCGAAAGGAATGTAAGCAGTTCTTCGTACTTTGAAATAGGCATCCAAAGGTTCAGCAGGCAGTGCTTGAATCACACCTTTTGACACTAGAAATACCCTTGTTTCTTAAAATTTCTAAAACTTTGTTAGCATTTTCTTTATAAAGAACAGACAATATCCATTAAATCAGAGAAGAATACATATTGCTATGAAATCACACTCTTAAAAATACATTAAAAATAAAACTCTTAAAAAAATAAATCAATATTCCCTGACATTGAAAGACAATTAACTCAATTTTTTTAAGGGCATATCCTGAATATAAACTGGAATCTGCATTTGAATTTGGAACCTAATAAAAGCCTCTAAAAAAGCTTCATTAAATTTGTTAGAACTGCGGAGATTCAGGGATCTGCCTGAATGCAGTGGATTGCAGAATTGTAGTTTTTATTTGTGTCATGATCTCAAAACATCAATTTGTTCAAGCAGATTAAGCAAATACAAGATTTTCTTTGATTAATGTGGCATCAACTGGGTACAAGATGATTGTGTGTTTTTTTTTCTAAATCTAAATTAGGAAGGGGAAAAAGTAGTAGAGGAGACATAAATCTGATCCTGTAATAAGCAAATATAATTGCATTCCTCATGGATTTTTATTGTGGATGATGTCCTGAGCACCCTGATTGAGCTCTGAAGCTGGCTCTGGTAACTATATGCTGCCTGACTTGGACTGCATTATTATGGAAAACAAAGTTTATTTTTTCTTACCTTTTCTTCTAACCCTACAAGGTTAAGCAAATAACTAAGTGCAATCTGCTCTATAAGTTCACTTCTAGATTTGTTTGCTGTTTCCATTGCCATAATATCAAAATTGTTTTGAAGATGCACATACTTGTGTGTGTTTTCCTATTTTTTTTGACTTTCTTTTTGGAGACAGACATTTTAGATGGTCTTATACTGGAAGGGAATACCTGTCAGATGTCTTTCCAGAAATCATTAAAGAATTCTGGGTGCAGGGCTAATTTTAAGTAATGCTTTGTAGTAGTATGATTTCTTTCTTCTTTCGTTATTCTTCTAGAAGGCAGCAAACATCTGTCCAAAACAAATAAAGCCAATTTGGATAACTCAAACAGAGAACCCCCATGAAACAACATAATAAATTTATGTCCACGGTTGGAAACTTCAACAGCTATTTTTGCAGTAGTCTGTAAATGTAATACAAAGAATTAACACGTAATGATGCATTTTGGAAATGTTCTGTGCTACTAAAGTGTGGGAAGGAGACCAATAATTGTTAAATATTGTAGTAATCTCCAAGTCTGTCATGGAAAATACTTCAAAAATGTGCCTTCTTTTCCAGCAGATTATTAGGTTGAGGTTAGGTTAGATCTTATCTTCAGAAAGTGAGTTCAAAGTAAGTATCCTCCGACTGAAAATGGTCTTACATTTCCTCTTTTTGTTTCCTTATGCTCAGTAGAATTTTTATGGCCTGTAGAGACTAAGGACTTTTCTCCTTAATTTGTTTACTTTGCAGGACATGTCATACTCCTAAGTGTTTTGTCACCTCCATCTTTATTTGCCTGAACTAGCACATACTTTTGGATTGCATACCCTTCCACATGCTTTCAGGTTCTTTAAATTTGTCTTCCAATATCACTCAGTCTTTCCCAACCTGAATAAGATGACTTTTTATTATAAATAATTATCTAATAGTTTAACCTGTTTATCCTTCTTCCCAAGTGGCCAGGTCTTTGATAGAAACAGGTTTTTAATAGGCCTGTACAAGCCTGTTACATTCATTTAAGCTGTGATCTAGGTCATATCTGAAAGTAGGCTAATACCTGAATTCACTGAGCCAGAATACCCACAGCTAATAATATGTAAAATACTGTCCTTCAGAAGTTTTTCTTCTTGACCCACTTTCTAAACTGGGGGGTACACCTGATGATTTCTTTCAATAGAAATTTGGGTGTTTTCATTAGACGCTAGGTCTCTAGTATAGCCTACTAGAAATATGTTTTTAGTGTTTTACATGTAGCTATACAGTTACTGTGAAAACTGGCAGAATGAGAAGTCAGATATGGGTAGATGCACCAAGTGTAGATGTGGATAATGACAGCACACTAACACAGATTGTGGATTGTTTTTTGTTGTTGAGAGTGCTTACGTCTTTGGGAAAACAAGCCAGCTAAAGGCATTCCTGAGTTGTTGCAGTGAACAATGTATAGCTTGTAAGGATGATCTGCAGTTTCCTTCTTGGTTCGCATAAATGGTGGTGAATTTTCCAGGTGAGATACCTCACTTGTTCCTTAGGAAGATGTCAGAAGGTGTGGGCCAGTGGACAAGACACATTTCTATCACAATCCCATGTGATAAAGGGAATTTAACCTACCGTCACATGTTCTCAAAGTTCTTACAGTGCTTTAAACTCTTTGCTCTTGTTCAGCTATGTTGGTCCATCACGTAAGGTGTTTCTGCATGAAGACTCGCAGTTTGTGCTCTAAGTTCAGTTACTTAACTGTATCTGAATGGCTTACTAAGTCTCAGAAATGCAGAACAGTGGGTGAGAAAATGGAATCTTGGCAGACTGCAAAAGTGCAACAAATGCTACATTACAGATTCTATGTATTTGTGCTTTTGCAGCTGAGGAATTAGTGTACAGTTGTCCAGGTCTCCCCTGCAGAAGGGGAGACCTGGAAATTGTCAGATGGTGGTTGAGGTTGAAATGGACCTTTCTAGTCATTCCACATCTCTCTTGTACTGGCAAGCCTATAACTGTGTATGGTACTCCAGATGGGGTCTCAACAGGGCTGAGAAGAGGGAGATCACCTCCCTCAACCTGCTGGCAACACTCTTCCCAATGCAACCCAGAATACCGTTGGCTTTCTTGGCCACAAGGACATATTGCTGGCTGTCATGGTTCTCGGGCACTTGAGTGACTGCTCTTGTTTCTGTTTTGAATTTAGTAGGTTTGTTTCAAAGCATTTTTCTATTTTATGCGATCCTTTCACTTGCAATGGAAGTGTTTTGAGCATGTTGTGAATTCTGTAGCACTTCAAAGACAGGTGGGGGTTTCATGAGTTAGCCTATTAAAGAGAATGGCTATTCCATCAGGATTCATTTCAGATTTCAGCCTTGTTTGAATCAGGATAGCTGGTGACATGCAGGCCTAAGACAATTGTATCTAATTAAAAAAATACTTAACTGGGACACTTCGTGTGGGAGCCTAGTCATGTCAGCCCCCTTGTATAGTCAGTGGAAGGGGTCAAGGATCTCTAGCAAGCATTTCAAACCTAAACTGTTCATGGATTGTTGAGAAAACATACGACATTTATGTTCCTTAGAGTTTAGTGGAATGAGTTTTGGCTTTAACAGACTATCAAATAGGTGATGACCTATGCCCAAGGTCTATACTGCAGTCTTGCAAAGCAATGTCATTGTACTGTGTCTTGCATGAAAAAGTGTGTTCTTCATGAATTCATTGCAAGCAATGACAATAGGGAAAGACTGAGCACATGGCACAGCGATAGCTGACAAGAAATGAGGCTGCTTGGCTGTGGTGATTTTACTCAGCTGGGCAGCTGAACTCAACCAGAACCATTCTCTCACTCCCTCTCCTCTAAAGGAAAATGGAGGAAATACGACAAAAAGGACATCACTCAACAATTATCATCACGGGCAAAACAGACACAGCATAGGGAGACTGATGTAATTTGTTACCTATTATTAACAAGTAATTAACAAGTAATGTTTATTACTTGTTAATAATAAGTATGTGTTTTGTCTGTGTCATCCCCTTCCCTCTTCCCCCCTCCCTACTGGTGCAAGGAAATGGGGAGTGGGGGCTGTGGTCAGTCCCTAAAACTTTGTCTCCGCCACTCCTTCACGGTCACTCTCTGCCCCTGTTCCACGTGATGTCCCTCCCATGGGATGTCATCCTTCCCAAATTGGTCCTGCGTTGGCTTCCCATAGACAGCAGCTCTTCAAGAACTGCTCCAGATATGGGTCCGTACCACTGGGTCCATCCCCCAAATGGCTCCAGCATGGGTCCCCCATGGGCAACAGCTCCCCCCAGGCCCCCTGCTCCTGCGTGGGCTCCTTTCCATGGGCTAAAGCTCCGGCCCAGGGCCTGCTCCTGTGGGGGCTCTCTTTGGGCTGCAGCCTCCTCCAGGCCACATCCACCTGCTCCACCGGGGGCTCCTCCACGGGCTGCAGCGTGGAGATCTGCTCCATGTGGGACCCATGGGCTACAGGGCAACTGCTGCTGCGTGCCTGGAGCACCTCCTGCCCTCCTTCTGCACTGACCTTGGGGTCCACGGTGCTGGTTCTCACTCCTCACTCTCCCAGCTGCTGTTGCCCAGCAGTGTGTGTGTGTTTTGTTCTTTTTTTCTTTTTTTCTTGAATCTGCTATCACAGAGTCTCAACCAATGTCACTCATTGGCTCAGCTCTAGCCAGCAGTTGGGTCCTCTTGGAGCTGTGTGGAACTGGGTCTGATCTAATGAAGCAGCTTCTAGGCTCTTCTCACAGAGGCCACGCCCGCAGCCCTCATGCTACTAAAGCCTTGCCATGTAAACTCAGTACCTTGGCACAGTGGAATTCCACAGGAAAACACAGCATTTGAACCTGCAGTGTTTGTGAGGAGATTCCTACTTTGTCTCATAGGGATAACTGCATATCTTCATGGCCACTACTTAACAATGAATGAGATAAATGTGTTTCTCTTCATAACAAAGGCTTGGAAAAAACTCATCTTTAAAATTACTATTGACTGACCTAATATGAGCTGTTATAGCTGACAGACTGGGAAAACCTATCTCTGACTACAATTCCCTAATAACTGATCTGTCATATCTCAAAAGCCTGCTTTTTGTATTTTCTCAGGTACCTCCTGCAGGCAGTTAAAGGAAGGACAACAAAAGAAAGCACCATGTCTTCGGTCTCAGCTTATTACAATGGAAAGACCGTACTTATCACAGGAGCCACAGGTTTCATGGGCAAAGTGCTGGTGGAAAAGCTTCTGCGCTCCAGCCCTGAAGTGAAAGCAGTTTATATTCTTGTAAGGCCAAAGGCTGGACAATCGATGCAAGAGAGAGTGGCCAACATGTTGAAATGCAAGGTAAGTTTCTATATTTTATTCTTAAATCTAGTCTGAAATCCATTTAATCTGGTATGCTTATAGGAGTTCTGTTTTACTCAATTCATAAGAACAAAATACAATCTACTGTAATCTTTGCATAATTTTTGTTTTATCTATGAAATGAAAAGCATGCATGAATGAACCTGAATCTGTCTCATTTAGATGTGTGATACAGGATTTTGCGTTGTACTGATATACCTTTTTTCTTCCTTTTTCTGTATTGCTGTCTGAGAATTTTTTTTTTCTGAAAACATGCCATGTTAGGAAGTGTCCTTTTTGGCAAAAAAAGTGGCATTTTGTTTTCATTATCTAGCTCTTTTCCTTCCTCACTTTCAAAACTTATGTTTGAATGATTATTGAATGATAATATTCCAATATTGAAACACAGTGAGCCCATTACACCCTTCTCCTTGCACTTAGGGTGTTAAACTTGCTTCAGAAGAAGCCTAGGGGCAACATATAGTGTCTGTGCTTTGCTGCAGTACAGTAGGGCATATGCTATCTTCTAAAGTCAGCTATAGTCTCACCTCACTTTGGAAATGACAAAATACCGTCACGTTTTGGGGAGTAGGGGGGAGTTTTCCAAACTTTTGGTCTTTTGCTGCAGACAGCATAAGTTAATCTACCTTGTGAACTGAAGTACAGACTTTTATGACTTCCACCCACGTGGCTTCCCTCTCCAGTGAGAACCACATCTCTAGTATTAGAAGGATGTCAAAAGCCTCTGTTGCATTAAATGTAGAAATGTGTAAGAAGACACTGGTAGACCAGTTGTCTAGAGTGGACTCCAGGTCCTCAGGAGCTTAAGCCAGTGGTTAGGTCATGAACTTGCTCAGACTCCTCCAGCTGTGATAAGTGGCAGAGTTCACGCTAATGCTTCCTGCTAGTGTAAATTTGTACGTAGACAATGTGGAATGAGAGGACGGAACAGATCTGACTCTAGGAGGCAAGAAATCACTTGAAATTAATCCAAGACTTGTCAACATATCCTTAGAGCATTGGTTTAAAATTCTGAGTAGGACTTGACTGGAAAAACAATTCTACTGGAGTTGGAGGCAAAACAGGTCTTATAGATAATAATAATAATAATAATAATAAATAAATAATAATTAAAAAAAAAAACAAAAACAAAAACAAAAAAAAAAAAAAACCCACCAAAACCAAGTAGAGCTTGGAGAAGGCTTTTTTCTCTATTGTGTTTAGGCATCCAAACAATGAGCTAGAAAAATCTTTAATATGCCCAACAACAGTTTGATTTTTTTGTGTTTTCAGCAGATGATAGATTATTTTCCTGTTTAAGAGAACTTTTGCATTCATAAGTGCTATAAAAGGAAACCATCATGCTAGTTGCTTTTTTGCAAGTCTGTCAAGTGCAGTTTTTCATTACTTTTCCTTTCAATGAACATTTTCAGCTTTCATCACTGACAGCTGTGGGTAATGGTTTTCATCATCAAACAACAAAGTCCCAAATATGTCATGCTTGCATGGTTTTTTGCATTTTGATATTTTTTTTCTGTTTTGTTGTGGTAGTGGTTTTCTTTCTTTCAAATAACTTAGAAAATGAGGAGGAACCAAGCTATTTTCCAGGACTTCTACATGCTTTGTTTGCATTTTCTCTATAAGTATTACTGTTTTTTCTTCAGTTTGTCAGTACATCTTAGTGTTGTTGTTAGCTCTAGGTGAGGTTCCCTAGTAGCTGTTTTATTGATGCAGCTGTACTAGATGTACCCTTTTTTTTCCTAGCATGTGTCAGCAGTTTTAGGCATGCCAACAGCAAACAGGACTTGATAACCTCTCCTTGAACCTTTGTCAGACAGCTTCAGTGATTTTCAAACAAGTAAAAGGAAGAGGAAAGTGTCTAGGCCTTCAAAAGGAAGAAAAAAAACAAACCTCAGTGGGTATGATCACAACTCATCCAGGACCCCTGAGGAAGGAGGATGTATCTTTGATGCAATTCTTTTAAAAATAAAGCAATAAGATAACTGGCTCCTGTGAGAACACAGCTGTCTTCCATTCAAGGAAGACTGAGAGGGCCAAAGAGTTAAGGTTTCACATTTCTTCTACGTACCTAGATGTTATGTCTTTTGTAGAGATATAGCATGTTACATGAGGGCTTTGTCCAAAACCAAGAAAGATTCTTGTTAAGAATTAGGTCCTGAATAGTCTCTAAAAGAAGAGAGCATCTTTACTTTGATTAGTATAATTGCATTTTTTGTTATTGATATAGAAGTGAGCTCCCCAGTGCTGAGGCACTGTGATACATGGTTAATGTATAAGTAGACCTCAGCTAATCAGCAGGGTGTGAATATGGTATTGTAAGTTCAAGGAACAGCAGATTCTGTTTAGCAGACTGGTTCAGTTTACAGGGTCTGTATTTCCATCAGGCATATCTCATGCAACCAAAAATTTGAACTCCTGTTGTGAATTGGTCAGGTGTGCTATGCTGTGGTCCAAGGAACAGTGGTAAGGCTCAAAACTCTATGGAATAACCTCAAGAATAGTTTTCCTCCACGCATGGGATAGGAAAGTACAACAGTCCTCCTTGGGGAAAGTATGCAGAAATGTATATGTGTACACACGGATGGCACTTACCAAAATAACAGGCTGAGAAAACAAATAGGCTCAGGCACTTTAAAATGTTCATTTAAAACTAAGAATAATAACAAAGTTTAGGTCCGTTTAGAACTGAACAATTAAACCGTCTCAACAGTCTCTTGCAGTAAGGGTCACACTGCTTCTAAAGACCCCATTTAGTCAGGCCTGAGGTTTACTGCACGTATTTTCCCTCAGTGGTCTTGTCCGGAAGGGACCAATCAGGAAATGGTTCCAGAAAAGTCCATCGTGACAGGAGGAAGGCCACAAAGCACTATGGCTGGTCTCCCAGTTCTGCAAGTCCCCTTGACTCCACCTGTAAGAACTGCTTTTGGTGCTGATCCCAGCTCCAGGCTTTGTAGAAACCAGGATTTAGAGGAAGAATGCTTCTCCAAAGCAGAAACCTGACTTGTCAAAGACAATTTCCATATGGAAATGTTGACAGCATTTGTTTTTTTCTTTTCTAGAGATTATATTGTTAGTTACAGAAATTCATTCTTGGTAGGTGAAGAGTGCAAGAAGCATTAACTTAACATTTTTGCAGATTGTTTCCAGTTAAGTCATCTGCATGTCTATAAACCACATAATGAGTTATTCACAGTCTAGAGAGTACACTTGCCATTTACAATTTTGGTTTGCATTCTCCAGTTCGGCAAACCTCTGAGCTACATATCAAATAAAAATGCAAGAAAGCTTATTCCAAGTCTGTATGCAACATTTGCATTTGACGTTCTTGATTGTAATCACTGATGAAGAATGCGTGTATTAGAGTATGCACAGAAAATTTAGAATTAAGATCCTATGTATGTATAAATTCTGATCTCTTCTGCATCATTATTCTTTTGCTCCACATTATGTTGGATTTAACACAATACATTTCTTGTATATGTTCTTAGGAGAAAATACTTTTTCTACTATTATATGTAATCTTATTTACTGACCAATCACACATCCACTTTAAAAATTAACTCTTCTTCTACGTTATGCCTTGACCCATATTATCCTTTGGAATTTCTAATTTTTTCATCCAGAAAATAAGTTTTTCAGGAAAGACAAACTGGAGAAAACCAGGTTGCCAGCTTCTAAATATTCTGGACAAGCAGATAAAAATATTATTTAGGATGAAATAAGATGAAAGTAGAGAATTAGATTGTTACAAATTAGTTGCACTGCCTAATGCCGAGATTCTTCAGGTAATGTCCTCTGGGGATTCTTGATTTCTGGTAGTACTTTACACAATTTATTTCAAAAATACTGTTTAATTTTTTATTTCTCTTCATGTATCTCTTAGCACAATCCGTGAAAAAATAAATATATCTATTATGTCTGTAGGGGTTTAAGCTTTGAGGCATTACACCTGTGAAACTGCCTTTTTCATAGTATGTAAATGTGCATATGGTGGAAGATAACTCCTGCTGAATAAAAAAACAATCATAAGTAATGAAAGTGTGATGCGATGTAAAGGAACCAAATACCTTAGTGTGTTCTTTTAAAATATTTATTGTCTGGAATTTTTAAAATTCTAAATCAAACATGAAGAATAAAATTATATATTAAAATGATTAGAAATCAGATTTTTTTTTTTTGCAATGTGTTCTGGAGTAGGTGAACAGATGGCATTAAAATGTAACAGAATACTGATTTTTCTCAGATCTTGTAAAATTAGTTCTATATGAAGTTGTGTTATTGCATTAATATGAAATGTATAATGAGCAGATCCTTAATTATCTCAGCATTAATTCCAAAATGAATGTGTGAATTGAGGAATGTATGGTGCATGGTGACCTTGCCTGTTTATGAATGGAGATGTTCTGTTTTCCAGCAGTAAGTCTCCAAGGGAATCAGGCTATTACCCCATGCTTAATGAAATGCCATGTCTTTGTGGCACAGGCAGCAGCTATTAAACACACACACACACACAAACAAACAAACAAAAACAAACAAAACTTGATCTTCCTGATCAAGTATGTTATATTTATCAGCAAATACACAGTAGAACTCCGGTCCTATAAATTAAGCCAAATCATGGCAGATGTCTCTTCTTCCACTTCCTGTGAGTGTCCCTACTTTTACTCCTGGGCTCATGCATCTTGATCATCACCATAAGCTGTTGAGGTTCTCCATGTCAAACCACTGCAGTGGCACTCCCTCTGGAATAGTGTCCCCTAGATTTGCGGTGGCCACTGCAATGGGATATGCATCAGTACCTGGAAGAGAGTAATGAGATTTTTGGTTGATGGAGCAGGATTCTGCTCACTCATTAAGAAGTGTGGAAACTGCTAATGTGTGCAACAGAGGTGAAGATGTTTTCTGTTTTATTTAGCTTTGCTTCATTTTGGTCAGTAGATTATCTGACATAACTTTGATATTTGTATACTAAGGGGACT